AATGGGTCTAACCATATTGGCTAGACAGGAAGAAGAAAAAAACAGCCTAAAAGAACAATGGTAAATCATTTCCTTACCTCTGCCAAGAAAGCTGTATGGAGGAACCTTTCCCTCCCCACCATAGTACTGTTGAAGCAATAAGAAGAAAAGGAGGGAAAAGCCATAGTATATTTCACAGGAAATACTTGATTTTTGAATTATATACCTAACTAAGAGACATGTACTCAAAATCATCTGTATACTACACATACACATACACATACAGAGGGGGAGGGGGAGGGGGAGGAAGAGAGAGCTGAGAAGATACAGAAAATTGTTAAAGTTACAGTACATTTTAGGTAGTAAAATAATTTAGAGTGGAGAGAAAACAGCTATCCTTGGCAGCAATACATGTGAAAAAGAACTGAGTGAACACAAGCTGAACAAGTGTGATGAAGGTGAAACTTGTGTAGTTAGAAAAAATATATAAGTATGTTGAATATAGTGGAAAAAGGGAATTAATGTATGTGGAAAAACAAGAGATCAGAATGAAGACTGAATGGATACTGAATCATTGGGATTGAATGAATACATTGATGTGATTTAAAGTGTATACAGTAGGTCAATGAGGTTCATATTGTAAAATAAATGAAGGAAGGAAAAGTGAATTGGGTAAGACATTAAAGAACAAATGCAATATATAGAGTGTATGGATGTGATTACAACCAAGATAATTTGAAGAAAGAAAGAAAAAAAGAAAGAGAAAAACAGAAAAAAAAAGGAAGGAAGGAAGGAAGGTAGACAGACAGACAGACAAACAATATTATTGTATCATATATATTTCATCTGTCCTATGTTAAAGTGCTTCTTTATTGATGTTAATTGAGAATAAGATCTTAGTGAGTAGCTTCTCACTATGGTATGGAAGAATCTGGAAGGAGAGGGTTGGTGGCAAACAGTTTACAGGCTAACATTACAAGTTCACATTTCATTCTTAAGGTTATGATTTGGTTTTTGGTATGACTGAATACTTATTTCATAATTTATTTTACAATATAGGTTATTTTTGTTCAGGAAAAATATGGGATTTATTTGTAAATAATCACATGCTACAGTTTTCAGAAGTATATATAGAATGGATTTGTATAGGTTTTAATTCTATGATTTTCCATTTCTGTGCTGTTGCTATTCTCTGTAACATCAAATTGATAGTTCTTTTGTTTACATTTTAAAACATATTTTAAAAACAGCATGTCATATTCTTATTAAACCTATGATCATAATTTTAATAATAGCCAACTATATATCTGAGAGATGTTTTTAAAAAATGTCCCTTTAATTGAAAATTTTGTTTATATTTTTCTGTTTTCTGAACAAACTGTCTTACTATGCATATTCAAGGACAAGATTGTTGTCCTATTGCTATTGAATATTACATTTACAGTGCACATGTGCTGACATAATTTATATCATTTGTGTACTCTCCAATGAAATAGATTATTCATTAATAATAGACACTGTCCGCATTTAGCAAGTTAAATATGGTTTTCTTGTATCTCCCAGGAATACCTATTTCAATCTGTATTTTTACATTTTTTACTTGTGATTACTGCTAGATGCCCACATCTAACAGTAATCCAAGACTAGCAAGTTATTGTACGTTAGTAAATTGTTCTTTCTAATGAATTGTTCTTAGTTACCTGGAAAAATATTCTGAAATATTGTGCCCAGTTCTTAAAACTTCACTTTAAAAAGATATTGATAAGACTGAGCAACAAAAATGTTGTAAGATCTGAGGGACAAAACATCAGGAGAAATTAGACAAACTGAATATGTACAGCCTGAAGGACAGAAGACAAAGGGACGACATGACTGAAACCTTTAAACACATTAAGGGTGTGAATAAGGAAGTATTTTCAATAGTAACCAAAAATCAAGAACATGGGGTATAATGTCAAACTAACAGAAGTGAAGTTCAAAAGTAATGTTAGAAAATATTACTTCACAAAAAGAGTAATGGAAGGTTGGAATCAACTTCCAGTGGAGGTAGTGGGTCAGTCATCAGTAACTGAGTTTAAACATGCTTGGAATAAACACATGTCCATCATCTGACAAAAATTAAAAAATAAATAAAATTATAAAAATAATAATTAAAAATTAATTAAAAAGAAAACAAAAAACTCAAAGGATAGACTTGATGGACCACTAAGTCTTTTTCTGCCATATTTTCATGCTTCTTCAAAACTTTTTAAAGTTTAACAAATTAACTTCTGTTCTAATCATAGGTTTTCCCATATTAACGTTGTACCATTGCCATATTTCTAACAAAACAATAATATTCTTGGAAATGAAAAGAAATAATAGTATATTTTAATAGTATTTTACCATCTCTCATGCATTGTATTATTAGGCAGTTAACAAAGTTGAAAGTGCATTTTAAAACAATTCTAAAATTCACATAATAATAGCTAAAATGCCAGGGTAGATACGTAGGATTTTTGCATATTCCTAAAGTGCAGGGAGATCAATGGGTGCTTTATTTTTGAAAATGTTTATGTGTCCATTTTGTATTTTGTAGACTTATGTATATCATATATACATTGTAATTGTATTTATGCTGTTTTTATTGTTTTGGGTGAGCCACCTAGTTATTTTTTAAGGTGGGCATCCCTGCAGGTTTTTAAACAAATAAATAAACTCCAAACTAAGGGTTATTACTATAACCTAAGCAGTACCACTTTCTGGTTGATACCAAATAAACATCTCAAGATGTGGTACTGCCAAGAGACCCTCTAATTGAGATTCAAAATAGGCAGATATTAGTAGAATAAGGCAGTCTCTTGGATCTCAATTATTCAAAAGCCAAATCTTAAACCTCATATGGTGCAGTTGGTTCAACAATAGTGTTACACGGTGGGGATGAAATGCACCATATAAAGGCAACACTGCTATTACATTTTGTACTCTCTGTACCTTCTGGATCACATGAAAGGACAACTCCAAATAAAGCACATTCCGATAATTAAGACATTCAGTGTCCTGAGATGTCTGTAGCTGGAACACCAGTGAAAGCTAAAATACAGTAGAAAAGGACTCTGTATTCAGTCTAAAATAGCATCCAGGCACTAATTGTAAGGGAATGACTTTGGGGAATGAGGAGAAGAGATGCTGCCTAGGAAACAATCAGGGAAGGGGAGATGCCCCCAAGGAATCAACGGGGAAAGAAACTTAGGATATGATCCCCCTCCTAATGGATCCAGCTATTAAAAATGGCAGTGGCAGGAAATTTGTACTGTTAGACTTGCTACATTTTGTTAATGCAGCCCTAGAATAAAATAGAATTAATTCATCTACTTGTGTTTCCTGTCTGGTTTAACTAGGACAGTTGATACTAATCTAGGACCTGTGTAACTTTCCCTATTGAATGGTACATTGAATTGAGACATATAGTTACAAGTGTTTTCCCTGGAGTGTTGTATTTTCTGTCAAATTTGTTTACAATTATTTTATATAAACATACATAACATTTTGACTCTATTTATGGCTGACCCATAACTTTTTTTGTGTTTGAAGAAAAAAGGAAGGTTAAAATTTCAGAAAAATACATTTGAGAGATAATGGCTAAAGGTGTTGCAAGTAATCACTACTCCTTTTAATGTCTCCTTTTGATAACTGCTTTTTATTTGTTTGTTGGGGAGCAGTTCTGCTAACAGTTGTGTAAGGATCTACTAAAAGTGTCACAAGGTAATTAATTACAAATGATTGCTATATATATAAATTTGCTAATTTTGGAGTTAATACTTAGTTTACATTCTGAGACTGGTAAAAATCAATTCTTGGTTTGTATTTAATCTTGGTTTTAATTACTAGGGAGGTTACTTCAGCACTTCTGGTACAATGGTTGGCAAAACATTAACTACTGAATTGTTTCCTACAATGGGTCTGAAAGAGCTTTATATGTCTAGAACATTTTGATATTTTAACTGTCCTGTTCTGTCCCAGAATGCTGAAAGTGCAGTGTGTACCATGTCATATCCTCCTCCCAATAATGAAATGTTTCCTCTGGATTTTGTCTTTAAGCATAATAAAGCTGTGTATAGAACTTAAGGATTTGCATGTAGATTAAAATGTTTGAACATTTAACTCAATAACTGTAAAAATATTAAGTGGTTACATTGAATTTGCACATCCAAGAGATACAGTTTTTGATGTGAGAACTACCCAAGCCAGTTAGCCATACGTTCTTACAAAATCAGCCATCAATGCAGAATTTTATTCCTTTTTTGTAAAAGCTAAAAAATACCTTTTCTTTTGAGGCGGAGGGGGGAGGGCTTGAAAGCAAGCTTTAAAACAAAATTTTAAAACAAAAAAGTATTGAATGTTTTTGTCTCTGATACTCTTGCATTTGTTTTAGAGATATTTAAGAAATAAATGTCTTTCAAGTGAACAAAATCTGTTTATTATCTGAGATGTCAGAGAGAAAGTGTCATTTCTGTTTACTTCAGCATCTGAGTGGAAAGTCACACTGCACTGAAAAGGTTCTTTTAGAAGTTCAATTGCATTTTAGTTTCTTTTTCCTAAATGGGAACAAATATAACATTTAAAGGTCAGGCATCTCTCAATCCAGCTGCAGAGAGTATTGTATTTTAAGTGTGTTCAAGGGATTTCTATCTATGTTGAAAATCCTGATAACTTGTACTGGGTTTTTTCCTCCTAATTTAAATCCTTATAAGTGTATTGCTTCAAGAAATAGACCATATTTTTATTTTATTTTATATATAATCCATTATTTTTTATAAATAACTCAAGGCAGTGAACATACCTAATATTTATTCTTAGCTTATTTTCCCTACTTTCCTCCCGTAGCAGTTGATTTCTTCTGCTATGATCAGTTCATACATACATTATATGCATTTATTTAAAGAATTTTACTTTAAAAGGGATATAACCCATTTACTGTTACATTTTTATTATTAATGAGGATAAGAAATGTTGACGTTTTGTTTCTGTTTCATTTTCAGCTGAACCTCTACCTTTAATGGATCTGTGTCGAAGATCAATTCGCTTTGCTCTGGGACGAGAACGCCTGCATGATATAGAAACTCTACCTTTGCCTCAGTCTTTGAAAAATTATTTACAATATCAGTAATATGATTCTAGAATTCTAAATGGTAGAAATTGTTTACATCAGAATATAAATCTTCATGGTGGATATTTTGAGTGTTATTTAATTATTTTTTACATTTTTTAAAAATAAACCATAGCAGAGGATTATGGAGACTACTAAGAAATGTGAAAATGTTGAATTGATTTAGTTCTTTCAGTAGAATAATTGTTGCCTATACTGTTACACAGCCTCATTATGCAGAATCCAAAGCTTGTTTTCACAGGTAAGAGCCAAATGTGTTATGTGTGTTAGGTTAGACCTAATGTTGGATGTGTGCCTGATGTGCAAGAAATGCAAATACAGCTCCCCAAACTAGTGTTCATGAAAGAAGAATATTCTTTTATATAAGTTAGAGTATCAGCATGTGAAAAAAATAATCCCTGTTTGATGGTTTTCAAAATTCTGGAATTTAATACACCAAATAATTAGGGTTCTTACAATATCAATTATGATGCAAAATTCCTTACTCATACAATCTGTTTATTCTCATTTTGAAAGGAAAATGTTCCAGAGAACAAACACATCACATCTAGTGTCACCATAGGAAGACATTGGGGATCTTTGTGCACATGGAACATAGAAGCCTCATTGGTACTGCAAGATTGTGGCCTCTTACATTTAGGTGCTCAGATTTTTCAGATTTTTTTAGCTTGGTATAATATACCACCTGCCATATTTTAACTTACTTTATTGAACAAGATACTCAATCTTGTTCTCCAAAGCAACTCAGCTCAATCTACAAATTAGTTAAGTTGACATTAGGTTTTATTTCTTCAGTAGGATGAAATTTGGTCAAATTAGTCTTTTCCAGCTTAACCAGTTTTGGTCCAGGTATTCTGGTTCAGACCTATATTAATTTGTCAAATATCATGCTGCCTTTTTATTCGTGACCACATTATTATTATTATTATTATTTACTTTTTGAGTTCCAAATACCATGTTTCCTGTAATGTGCCTATGGCATAAGAGGGCTTGAATTAACCTACTCCAGGCACACATTGAAAAATTCCAAAGCTCAAAAGCTAGCCAGGCCCTCTGCCAGAATTGTGTGCCAGTTTCTCATGTGAATATCCAATGCCTTGATGAGTGTTCCACATGTTCAGATGACCCTATGCTTTTACTCATACATTTTTACATATATTTATGTGAATACCTCATTCTCTGAAATTGTTATCTATTTCTAACCATGACAAATTGGCAAAAGACATGTTACCATGGCATCACAGACAAGTACATAAAGGGCAGGATATACACTGCAACATATTTTATTGTTTGCCACTCCCCTCTTTCAGACCCCCACGCACTCTACCAGACATCCCTCAGAGAGGCAACACATGGTTCCAGAAACAGGAAAACATAGCCTATAAATGTCTTATTTTAAAACTTGCAAGGGACAATAATATGTAACTTTATACAGTTTTGTTTATCTTGTCACACATTGAGTATTACATTTTGAATTTCTCTCTCCAGAATAGAGTGGAAATTTTTTTTTGTTCTTACATCTTTTTCTCCTTTGCTTAGAATGTGTGTTCATTTGTCAGGATCAATTTATTTTTAAGGGAACTGCTTTTGTTTGTAATTTTTGTTCTGCTACATTCACACTTTTTTGCCTGATCATGATCTAGTTTTTAACTGGAAGTTGTTGTAATGGCAGGATATCAAATGTTGATTGAGCTGCCTTCAGCATATTTTAATGTGAATTCACCGAAGAATGAAGATATTTCTAATAAACTCTACTGTCCAAATGACTACTGGTGTATTATGTTTCCTTCCTTCCCTAGTCTAAGTTACTTGCATGCATATTATAATAAACCAATTAGTAGTTAAATTTTTTCTCTACCTGACCATTTTTATTACAATATCTTTCATACCAATGTGTTCCCGTGGGAAAGAAATGAATAGAACTAGAAAAAAGAAAGAAAATAGATTACAAAACATCTATGGCATAAAGTCCTCTGCTTCAGTTTTAAAGTTTATTTATTAGTAACGTCTGTCTACTCCCTTTGTTCAGTTTTGGCTTCATCCTGTTTTCATTGGCAGAGTTCTCTGTGTCAACCACCCACTTCTAGTACCCTTCATGATACACGTTGCACTACATTAGAAGAATACAGTTTACTGACAGTTGAAGCTGTATGATTTTACTTTTCATTGCTTATAACGTTTGCATTCTTTCTCAAGCGCAAGTTTTATTTTCATGTCAGTTTGCCAATTTGAAAAAGATGTTCAAACCTTATGTTCATCTTTTTTCTCATGGACAGGAAAGCTTGAAGTTTTTTACTTACAATTTTTCTCTGTTTTCTTATACAAAGAGAAACAATTGTTATACAGTTATTGTGGATATTTTTTGATCTGAGAATTGAGTTGCAGAATTTAGAATTAAGAAGTTGAAAGTTATGTGAAAAGTGTGAATGAAATGAAGCAAATTTATTTCTCCAATATCTTAATTGATGCTATCATTCACCGATGGCAATCTTCTGTTAGGCAATGGAGCTTTTTTTTATCTTGGCACAGAACAAACTTTTCTTCCAGCTAATAGTAATAGAATAACATGACCCAGTGTTAATTCTTATTCTTACAGTTCTACATTTAGCAAAACATTTCATTATGTTTCAATTTTTTTATTTCAGTTGCATCTAGCTCTTTGTTGAGAAAAATTATAAAAAGATTATATAATGTGAATATTATTCCCAATCTTATTTATAACTTGGAATGAATGTTGCTGATAACCACTATATTTTTTTCTTTGCTTGTTAAATTTATTTGCCTCCTGTCTATCTCTGGGGCTACTCTAGACAGCTTAAAATAATAAACAAGAAGAACATGAAAGGGTAAACAGAACAAAAGGAAAATAATAGAACCATAAAATAAACAAAGGGTGGGGGTGAAGAATACATTAGTATGATAACCAAAAAGATGGATGGGTGGGGAGCAGAGCTCAAGAAATGGAAGGTGGAGTCTGCCATCAATCTCAACAGCCACCTCCAGTGTGAAACTCCTCCATTCTGCCCCTAGACTAACCAGCAGAGCCAGGTCTTCAGGTGCTGGTGGGAAGATAGGAGTTTGGGAGCTAATCTTACCTAAGAGGTACCAAAGGATGGACACTGGAACAGAGAAGGGACTTCTGGATCCCAATAGTCAGAGTTCTTTGACTGACGGGATCCTAAGTAGTCCTTCTCTGCCAGCCTGAGTAGATAGACTTGTTCTAGCAGGAAAATGCAGTTTGTCAGGTAGTCTGGACTTATGCCATTAGAGGCTTTAAAGGTCATAACTAACACGTTGAAGTGCACTTGGAAGCAGCCCCAGTGAAGTTCGCAGAGCAGAGATGTAATATGGGCCATCCTAGGGGCCCAAAGACTGCTCTTGCTGCTGCACTTTTCACCAACTGAAGCTTACGAATGGACTTCAAGGATAGGCCCATGAGGAGTGCATTGCAGTAGTCCAGGTGACAAATGACCAGGGCTTGAGTAACTAGGCACAGGGAGACATGATCCAGGAAAGGTCACAAGTGATGCACAAACAGGAGTTCTCCTGGTCATACATGTCACCTCTGAAAGCAGGAGACATGAGTCCAGGAGAACTCCTAAGTTGCAAACTGACCGTGAACGGCATGGTGCAACTCCACCCAGAACTAAGGATGAGAAACATTCGGATCCTGAGGTTTCATGCATCCAAAGCCACTCAATCTTTCCAGGGTTCAGTCTTAAGTCTCGGGCTCCTTCAATTAGATCCCTTGCAGCTTCCACACATCCTGAGAGGGTGCGACATCATCACTTGGGTCACCATTGAAGTTTATACTTTTATAAAGAAAGGTTCAGAAATTAAACTTTTCTGCGTTCTGAGATTCTTTCTCTCTGACCATAGATGGATATATCCAAGTTAAAGAGTCAACTAATTTAAGTCTGCCTTTCCTATAACTATTTTGTCCAGCAATATATTGCATATGGAAATTATATGATATATAATTTTGTATTACAAAATATTTGAATAGTTGCCATTTGTAACAGTTATCTTGGTAAACTTATAGCTCTACCTATGTGTACAACAGTAGTATCCAACTTCCAGGGCATTTCACATTATATAAGAGATAATATCTTCTTCAAGTTGAGCTCCATCTTGGGTGACTTGATGCTGAAGTTGTGATTTTTTAAAAAAATAAATAAATTAGGAAACAGTATAGAAATTTTTGTCAATGTCTCCTTCCAGGCTATTTATTTCAATTTCCCAATTCAAACTTGCCCTCCTAATCAGGTCAATTTTTGCTTACTGTCATGGTTGACTCGCTACACAGCCTGGTCGCAATCAGACAACAATAATGGAAAGGAGAAGGGAAGGCATTGGAATGTGAGGGTGGTTTGGGAGGAAAACTCTGGATTGTAAGTGTGCCATCTGGAAGTATGAGACAGTTCCACGCCAAGGTTAACAACTCTGAGAATATCCGAGGCAAACAGATTGTTCTCAGAACAACTCAGGTGCAACAGTTTGGTGAATAAAGGACCATGGGAGAAGCAAGGGAGAGAAAGGTGGATTTATCTTACGCCTTCACACATGAAATGTTAGAACTGCTTTTCCACTTCTGTACACACATGGCTTTTCAGTAAAGTATACTCTTGGGGGGGGGGAATTGTCTCAGGAATTTCTTTTGTTGGCTAGCATATTGGGACAGTTGACACTTTTTTGAAACCAATAAAAGTATACCAAGTACTGCAGGAAATGCACAGTATCATATGTTATCCCTAGTAGTAAATTTACATCCTTTTAAATGGCAAAAGCTTGCTTTGTTCTTTCTATTAGTATTTACATGCATGAAATTGAAACGCATAAAGGTAAAAAAATTAGATCAGGTGAGATGAAGATATTTTTGTGCATGAGGATTAGCAAGAATACATTTTCTTGTCCTGCTTTCATGAAAAAAAAAAAACCAACTAGATTAAACAGATAATTCAGAGAAAACAGCCAGAAAATAAGGCTGTTAGAATGAATGAATGTACTTCTTTGTGTAGAACCTGTTTCCAATCAGAGCCAACCTATAATGTTTAATAAAAGCAACACTCAACAATAGCGATACAATTAAAATATAAAAGTTTATAATTTTACATGCATAACTAAAATAATTAGTCAACATTAACTTGGAAAAATAGACTAAACATAAAGTTACTATGACAAACGGTAATGTAGTAACCAACAACATTCAAGTTATTATTAAAACTAGCCAAAGAAGCAGATCCAACTATAGGAAAAGGAAAAGAGAAAACAAATGAGAAAGAATTTTAATAAAGAAACAACTCTTATGCATCATACAAGTACTTGTAAACTTTCATTTATTTGGATGTTAATATATTCACTCTAGTTACTTTTCTGTGTCTGCTGCTTTTTCTATTCATGAATTACGAAACATTTTCTGATCTATTTCACAAATGGCATCATTTAATAATCTTAAGAAATATCTGTTAAAATATTTGCACTCTGGGTCTGATATCAGTGTAGATCACGGGCCCTTTGATCCAGGCCCGGGGCCAGATCCAGCCCACAAGGTGCTTAGATCTGGCCTGCAAAGTTCCCCTGGAAACAGCGAAGGACCCGCCTGTGGTGCCTCTGCCAGTGAAAATGGAGCATGTGAGGGCCACGGGCTGGCAGAGAATTGCAGGAGGCCATCACAGCCAAAAACGGAACATGCAGGGGCCATCGGTGGCCCTCCCAAGCTCTATTTTCTCTGGCAGAGGGTTGCAGGCGGCTGTTGCAGCCAAAAATAGAGTTTGGGAGCCCATTTTCACTGACAGAGCACTTAGGCCACCACAGGCATCCCCAACACAAGTGACATCGAGCTGGCCATGCCCATCCTGGCTGCACCTACCTGGCCTCCCAAGGTCAAACATAACCCTGGTACGGCCCTCAATGGAATCGAGTTTGACACCCCTGATGTAGATGCTTATGTTTTCACATTGTAAAATAATAAAATCCTTTACCATTCACAAGAAAAGGAGGAGTGAACAATTTGTAACAATGTCCATACTGTCTAGAAGGCTTTTGAGAATTTTATTGTGGTCCTCCAAAGTTTGCTTACCACTGTTTCGGCATAAAAAAGAATTGGTGTCCATATTTATAACCTTCACAAAGTATTAAATAGCCTTATAATGTAGAAAGAAACTTCATACTAGCATTATATATCTTATTTCCAGTTTTAGTTATTCTATTCTTCTTTTAGTTATTCAATAAAGGCCTACCAATTTCTCTTTCCTTCTCGAAGTTATACTACATTTACAAGAGCCATTTGTTTAAAGTAAAAAGCTCCCATTGGACGAATAAATTAACAGTCTATTAGCATTTCTAAAAGGCTTAAATAATTAGTCTGTGCTTGATGTTTTTTAAAAAACATTTACCTTTATAATGTCTATGTGAAAAATTGTCATAGAAGCTGTCCTAGGATCAGCATCTGCTCCATATTTTACTAGATCAGACAGTTTCTATCTCAAAAGGACAAAAGAAATGTGAGACAATGTGATGTATCAAGTAGAAAACTAACTCCAGTGTCAGATTTCATCTGACATTCATATTCTTTGAAGGGATGCAAACCATACATTTGTGAAAAAATACAATTGATACATAGATCAGTTCATTCCTAAAAGAAAGTAATGTGAGTATAAATAAAAAATGGGGCTTTTTGTTCCAGAAATTCAGATTACAAATTTAAATATGGCTGAGGGATCTAATACTTTAAAGTCATTGTTTGGGACATAACTAGTAATTTTAT